GGACAGGGACAGCCACTCCAGCAGGGAACTCCCCATCCTCCAGCCCTTCTCCCTCCCTCTGGCACAACAGTTTTCTCATGAAGTCACACTCACGGGGAGCTCAGGGGTCACCCGAGCCGGGGAAGAAGCCGGGAGGGGGGTGGCAGAAACAAATTCCCCTTCCCCTCACGCCTCAGCTCACATTTCCTCTGGGCTGGTTTCTGTTGAAAGGAGAGGCTTTGTTTCCCAAAAAGCCCCTCTGTGAGCCGGGCTCAGGCCTGGCTCTCCCAGCTGTTGCTGCCAGAGCCCCCCAGCCCCCGTGGCAGCTGCTCCTGCTGCCTCCCCGCCCGGGCTGGACCCCAAACCCCAAATGTGGGGAGAGGGGACTCAGCCCTACCAGCTCTGGATTGCCATGGGGACACTGCCCAGCTGTGGAGGGGACGGTCACCGCTGCCCTCGGGGTCCTGGCACGGGCACTGGGGGTGGCAAAGCTTCTGCAGAGCAGCCAGGGGACAAAAAATCTGCTATTGTCACCACTCCTGACCCGCAGAGCCCCGCAGCTCAGCAGGATGGGTTTGTAACCATAAAAAACATCCTTGGCTTCCTTTTCCTCCTCCCTTCTCCACAAAAGGGCAGYTGGACATCACCTGTGGGCAGCTGGGGGAGCTCAGGGGGTCATTTAGAAAGGGAAATGAGCAGGGATTGGGAATGTGAGSGCATTTATGGCAGCTGCTGACAGCTCCGTGTCGCTCCCTCGTGTCCCGGCTCCAGCTCAGCCTGCGGGTCAGCGACGCCCCCGACCTGAGCGCCGGTGTCAGCTGCCTCTTCGGGAACCTGAGCGAGGTGGAGGGACAGGTTTCGGGCAGCCAGGTGGTCTGTGTGTCACCAGCGGCCAGGGACGTGCCTGCTATTCCTGTGGATCAAGGTGAGGGATGCTCCTGGGCGCTGGCATGGTGGCAGAGGGCACGGGGAGGGAGTGGGAGCGGAGAAAGTGCGCTCCTGTCAGAGCCTGAGGAACCCAGGGAGCTTCTTCCTCTGGAAATGAAACCCAGGGGGCTTCATCCTCTGGAAATGAAAAACCCAGGGAGCTTCATCCTCTGGAAATGCATCCCAGGGAGCTTCATCTCTGGAAATGCATCCCAGGGAGCTTCATCCTCAAAAAATGCATCCCTGGGATCTTCATCCTCTGGAAATGAAAACCCAGGGAGCTTCATCCTCTGGAAGTGCATCCCTGGGGGCTTCATCCTCTGGAAATGCATCCATGGGGGCTTCACCTCTGGAAATGCATCCCAGGGGGCTTCATCCTCTGGAAATGCATCCCTGGGGGCTTCATCCTCTGGAAATGAAACCCAGGGAGCTTCATCCTCTGGAAATGCATCCCTGGGGGTTCATCCTCTGGAAATGCATCCCTGGGGGTTCATCCTGTGGAAATGCATCCATGGGAGCTTCATCCTCAGAAAATGCATCCATGGGGGCTTCATCCCCTGGAAATGCATCCCAGGGAGCTTCATCCTCTGGAAATGCATCCCTGTGGGCTTCATCCTCTGGAAGTGCATCCATGGGGGCTTCATCCTCTGGAAATGCATCCCTGGGAGCTTCATCCTCTGGAAATGCATCCATGGGGGCTTCATCCTCAAAAAATGCATCCATGGGGGCTTCATCCTCTGGAAATGCATCCTTGGGAGCTTCATCCTCTGGAAATGCATCCCAGGGGGCTTCATCCTAAAAAAATGCATCCCTGGAGGTTCATCCTCTGGAAATGCATCCATGGGGGTTCATCCTCTGGAAATGCATCCCTGGGGGTTCATCCTCTGGAAATGCATCCCACACAGGAAGGACAGGCTGGCACAGGCAGCAGGGAGGGATTGCCCTGTCCTTACTCCCTCTCTGAACTGTCAGACAGCTCCAGCACAGGACAGGAGCCGTCTGTCCCCTCCGGGGTGTCTGTCCTGTCTGTCCCCTCCAGGGTGTCTGTCCCCTCCGGGGTGTTTGTCCCCTCCAGCGTGGCTCCCAGTAGCTCTCAGCCCTGCCAGACTGGGTCAGTGTTCTGGGAGGTGATTCCCAGAGAAGCTGTGGATCCCAGTCCTTGGAAATGCTCGAGGATGGGGTTGGATGGGGTTTGGAGCAGCCTGGGGTAGTGGAAGATGTCCCTGCCCATGGCACAGGATTGGAATGGGATGATCTTTCCCATCCAACCCAAACCCTTTTGTGATTCCACAATTCCTGAACCCTTCAGGGAGCAGGGCGAGATTCCAAAACCATTCCAAGGCAGTGTTTAACCCGTGTCTCTGCTGCATTTTGCCATCAGAGCTGTTGTTTTAGGAGGCATTGCTGGGCACAGACACCCCGGGGTGCTGAGGGCAGGGTCTGGGTGGGGGTCCCGGTGCTGGGGGGATGGAGACCCCCAAATTCCCGTGCTGCTGCTCCGGGCAGGAGTGACGGGCTCTGCTCTGCATCCCCAGACTGGTTCGGTGTCGTGCTCCAGCTGAAATCCCGGGAGACCGGCAGGACCTTCGTCAGCACCGAGTTCAAATTCTACAACTGCAGCGCCCACCAGCTGTGAGTGCTCCTTCCCAAAAAAAAAACAGCCGGGAAGATTTGGGGAACGGGCACCGGGCCGGGTCGGGGGTGTCACAGTGCCCGGAGCTCTGCGCTCGGGAGGAGCAGGGAACAAGCTCAACCTGCTGGTGCCCCCAAGCTGCGCCATCCCGCAACTGAGAGCGCGGATCTGCGGGAAAGGAACGGGCAGGGAACGGGAACTG